ATTTCCACAAGACACATTTAAATGACTTGTACCTACCAAAGAACCTCAGGTCACTAGACAGCCTACAGACAGACACCCCCACAGCTTGTATGCGTATGACCCTTCAGGCTGCCAGAGCTCTGCTAATATACAGATTTAGCCAAGTCTAAAAATGGGAATCCTGGGCCGGGTTGTTCAAAGCCCAATTAATGTAACCCAGGATAAGCTGGAACTTTGATTTGAGTTTTGTAACTCTGCAGTTAGGTTTTCTGTTTATTGTTTGGCCTTCTGTTTTGAGTTTGAATCATCTCAAAATAAACAAAAAACAGTGAAAAGCATTTGTATTCAAGAAAAATTTATACTTCAGTTAACTTTTAACCCTGGGTCAGCATTAACCAGGTTCCGAACAACGCGGCCCTGTTTACAACAAGTTAAACTTGTCTGACATGAGCCCACAATCCGATCAAAAACCACCACTTGGTCAGCAGTCAACTTACAAAACAATTGTGACCTCAATGAGTTCTAACCTTGAGCCTGTGATATGGTAACATGATACTGGTCAGCAGATACCTTGATATGACAGGTGTCAATTGACCATAACATGGATGTCCAATATCACAGACGGACGCCATAAACCAAGGCTGAATGTCTCTGTCAACCTATAGGAGAATCTTTGTTTACAATATTTGCCACATTACCATAAGTGATACAGTTTCTGATGGAGCTACAAAGAGATTAATACTGAATATTGAAAGGGCACAGCACGATTAACCATCCCAAGGAATTGTATTGAATACTTTTTGTGTGATGAGGGTTTAAAAGCTCAAAATTTCAGAAAGAATGTATGAGCTCATTAGCGCTTTCGCCACACAGAAATTTTGATGTTTTTGAAAGCCAATTTCTCCTCGAATATTACACCCAAAGAGCCAAAAATTTCACCACTTACTAAGTTTCACAACTTCTAGTAAAATCGTGTCTAGCATGATGCCTTCTATGTGTAAAGTCGTATGTTAATGAGGAAAATTGTAAACAATGACATCAGCAAAGATTCGCCTATTAACTAGAGTATTGGCCACCATCTTGTGCGACTCCGTCCCCATTGTCGTTGTCATGTGTACGCACTCACAAGCAATACCGCTAGCCATGACAACCATCAAAAAATCAATTCAGGGGTTTCCTTTTTAACCGCGCAGCCATGGGCCGAGCGCTGTTCTAGGTTTGCGTGGGGTTTATTATTTTTCGAGTTATTTTTTTGTAAAAGAAATTAATACCTCTTAGTCAGCGCGTCGGGTACGTTATGGATGGGTCAATGGATGAGTGAGTGAGTGAGTGAGTGAGTGAGAGAAGTATGTATGTCACGCCAATTAGATTGAATCTACTATAAACAGCCAATCAAATTTCTTGTTGTAAAGGTAAATGGTATGTGAGAAGATCTGATCTCGACACAGTTTAGAACGGCCATATCTAGTCTTCTATAAAAGAGGAGGAAGTATTCATATATTGGACTTCGACATTTTCTGTGGGTTAGGCTGAGGATTTCAGTTACGAACGAGATGAGCGTTGAGGTTTGAAACAATTTGTGAGTTAGTTTCAAACGCAGCAAGATATTTTTATTTTAAGTTACAAAGGTAACTTGATACTTTTGTTTTTCACAAGGAGTAAATTCAATTAGAGGTCACAAATCGTCGCTTCTAGTTCTTAAGACACGTTTTAGAGGAGANTGATGGAGCTACAAAGAGATTAATACTGAATATTGAAAGGGCACAGCACGATTAACCATCCCAAGGAATTTGAGCGCGATGTATTGAATACTTTTTGTGTGATGAGGGTTTAAAAGCTCAAAATTTTAGAAAGAATGTATGAGCTCATTAGCGCTTTCACCACACAGAAATTTTGTTGTTTTTGAAAGCCAATTTCTCCTCGAATATTACACCCAAAGAGCCAAAAATTTCACCACTTACTAAGTTTCACAACTTCTTTAAGTTTTTCTAGTAAAATGGTGTCTAGCATGATGCCTTCTATGGGTACAGTCGTATGTTAATGAGGAAAATTGTAAACAATGACGTCAGCAAAGATTTGCCCGTTAACTAGAGTATTTGCCACCATCTTGTGTGACTCCGTCCCCATTGTCGTTGTTGTGTGTACGCACTCATGAACAATACCGCTAGCCATGACAACCATCAAAAAATCAACTCATGGGTTTCCTTTTTAACCGCGCAGCCATGGGCTGAGCGCTGTTCTAGGTTTGCGTGGGGTTTATTTTTCGAGTTATTTTTTTGTAAAAGAAATTAATACCTCTTAGTCGGCGCGTCAGGTACATTATGGACGGGTCAATGGATGAGTCAGTGAGTGAGTGAGAGAAGTATGTATGTCACACCAATTAGATTGAATCTACTATAAACAGCCAATCAAATTTCTTGTTGTAAAGGTAAATGGTATGTGAGAAGATCTGATCTTGACACAGTTTAGAACGGCCATATTTAGTCTTCTATAAAAGAGGAGGAAGTATTCATATATTGGACTTTGACATTTTCTGTGGGTTAGGCTAAGGATTTCAGTTACGAACGAGATGAGCGTTGAGGTTTGAAACAGTTTGTGAGTTAGTTTCAAGCGCAACAAGATATTTTTATTTTAAGTTACAAAGGTAACTTGATACTTTTGTTTTTCACAAGGAGTAAATTCAATTAGAGGTCACAAATCATCGCTTCTAGTTCTTAAGACACGTTTTAGAGGAGAGGAGACTAGATTTTATACAGTCCTAACGTTTACAAGAGCAAGTGCAGGTGACAATTGTTTTGTTCTTGTTGCCTGCAAATATAACAAGATATTTTTATTGTTCAGTTACAAAGCTTTAAAAGGGTAATTTGACACTCTTGTTTTTCACAAGGAAGTACATTCAATTAGAGCTGACGAATCGTCACCTCTCTTTCCCATGAGATGCTTGTTATCTTTAGTTACAAATGGTAACTTAACACTTTTGTTTTTCATATGGGAGTAAATTCAATTAGAGCTGACAAGTTATTGGCTATTGTTCTCAGGATATTAAACAAAAAAAGCTTTCATTTCTGGACGGTTTTTACATCTCTGCAGTAGCAGTTCAGTTTTAGTTGATGGACATTTTATGACATTCTTTTCAGTCCGATATTTTTAGAGGTGAAAAGTATCAAAAGTGCTCAAATGTTCTTTGAAGACTGCGCAGCACCAAATTAAAGTGCAATTTAATCAAATCAGACTTCCAATCTGTCAGAGAGGCTTTTTTTCTCTTTCTTTCTACAGTATTTTCGGTGAAGTAGTGTTGTTGTGTTGTGTTGTGTAAAAAGGGTAAACTTACGACTCGTATAAAATACAAAAAGGTCTCTTAACTTGAGTATTTTTGAGCAAAAATTCCTCTTGGGGGTTGGAAGGGCTATGTGATCGGTGACTGAGGGAGTTATGCATGTGCATGTGCCACACCAATCATAGTGTGGGTTTTATCAAAGAATGAATTGAAAAAAAAAATAAGATGGTATCTACATTAATCAGGAGGCGTGTCAGATTACTGTAGTGTGTTTAGTCAAACATTTTAAGGCTTACTGTTTAGCTATATTTTTGAGCAACAATTCCTCTTGGGGGTTGGAAGGGCTATGTGATTGGTGAGTGAGGGAGTTATCTTACCATTACCAATGTAACATTGTATGTACATTGTAAATTCCCAGTTTCTTTCTTGCAGTACATCGCAACCAAAAGAGCTTGTCAAGTTAACCAAATCATTACTGTAAACAGCTCCATGAATGCTCCTATCTCCGAGACTTCACAAAAAAAATAACTCTTGCACGCCTTGCGTGCCTATGTTTTATTTTTAAGTTTTGTCTGTGACCAGACCCAAACTTCCTCTCAGCCAAATTTTGATTCATGTAACCTGTGATGTTGATTTGCTAAAAGCTGTTGAAACATTGATACATGGACAATGTTATGGATATTGTTTTCTTTATTGTGTGTAAAATATATTTTCTTTTGGTTTTATCGAAGTATTGGATTCGAAGGGAATAATAAATAAGCTAAAAAAAGGTATTACGTCAGCCATGGAATGCACTGACGTTGCAGCTTTCACTTTTGCTATGTGGTAAATAAGGTTTACTTTGCAAGTTTATTCTGCCAGGAGTGACAGTCTTTTCATTTTTTTGTATTTTTAGACGAGAAGTGAATTGTTGTACTGTTTCATTGAAGTGAGTTCAGAGATTGGAAGGAAAATTAAATATTTGCAAGCCAAGCAAAGAAGAAGTCAGAACATGCAAGGATTATGTTATTAGTAGGGAAATAACCATCGTAGTAAAGATAGCCGTGGATAACGTAATTCTTGAATTCTGTGACTTGTGTGACTACTCATAGAAAAATTGATTAAATTTAAATTAAGTGTAAACATGACTTAACAAAGCTGTTGTTAATAGTGTTATTATCGCATTGTTCATGCCCATACATATTCTGAAGAAAGTTCCAGATTAAGACCATTATGTCATCGGAGATTTCACAACGGCTACGACTGATGACCAGTGCAATCGGAGATTTCACAACAGCTACAAGTGATGGTGCAATAAGATGCTTAAAAAATTTGTGTGTAGTCGTTGTCATCAGTTGTGCAACAGATTGATTAGGTGATTTTAGATTTCACAAAGTCTAAGAGTGATGGTGCAATAACACAGTTTGTGTTGATCAAGTGATGTGGTGATTGCAGTAATCAATGAATCATCAAGGACTGCTTTGTAATGTGCACTGCGTTGTGACTGTGGTGCTAAGAAAACAGTTAAATTTTAAGAGCGCAGTTATAAGATCTAAAAGATCTTTTTGTCTTTACCTCTCTGGGTTTGGGGCTTCGATTGGCAGCCCTTTGGGCTGCCAGAGCTCCACTATTAAGTTACTAACATTAAAAATCCTACTTTATCTACTGGAGACTGGAGAGTTCTGTATTGGTTTCTGTTAGTAAATGTGTTAAGTAAACCTTAATGTTTGGTGCTGGAAGTGGCTAAAATACTGTCTCATTACAGCAAACATTTGGGCCAAAATCCAGTTGGTGGAGTGTATGTAATGCCATCACTGAAGTCACTACAAGGTCAGTAGAACTTTCGTTTGGTAGCAAGTCACTTTACAGGAATGCAGTGCAGTACTGTGTCTATACAGAGATTCACTATATGGTTAATGACAAATATCAGTGTTGAAGTTTCACAGCACATACATATAATAGCCCAATCATAATTCTTGGGCAAACCTTGACTGCACCTTCACATGGGAAGTGCATTACAAGCCTGCAGATAATTTTTGTCTATAAGCAGGTCATTTGTCAGGCCAAGGACAGGTTTTGACCTTACAAAAAGCCAGTCTGGTCGAACAAATTCTTTTTGTCATTACAAACTAAAAATGAGAGACCTTTGAGACATTTTGGTATTTCATTGTAGACCCTTCACCAAAGTGTTGGTTGCAAATTCAAATGACTTAAAAGTGAAGTCAACTGAGTGTAAAATCAATTTGGCTTCACTCACTTGATCACACAGGTATTCCGTATTTTGCCCTGTATCCAGTTTTCCAGGTGGACAGCTTGTCAGTCTAAACACTCACTCACAATAACATTCAGAGACTTGAAAATTGGCTGAAATGAATTCTTTGACTTTTTCTGAAGGCAACTTAACCTCGAAAATTTTTGGGGTCAATTAAATAAATAAATTTGCATAGTTAGATGAAATTCAAATTGGAAGTGGTCATGACTACAAAGCATTACTAATTTGTACATTCACACTTTTCACAAAAACATGTCTGTGGCACAGAAACTAATTCAAAATATATTGAACCACAGCTGCAAAAAAAAAAAACTATAAAGAGCCATAAAACTGATTTTTGATCATATGGCATGGACTGGGGATACATTTGGTTTCATTTTAGAGGTTTTAAAGTTTTTGAAAGCGATTGCATTCAGATAAACGAAATGTAGTCGGGTCAAATTACAACTGAAAATTAATTCCACAACACTTGCAGATAACAAACAATGAGTAACAACATATAAGACCTCAGATTTAAGTAATTTTTCATACGAACGTAATTCAGACTAAATGGGGCTTCACAAGACACCACCACAAAATGCGTAAATTAACACATAGCCTGAATAGTGGTGCTGATGTGGCGTGTTTACAATTAGATGTGACATTTGAGACAACGCATTGGGCGTGATAAAATTATTTCTCAGAAATGGAATAAAAACGAAACTGATAACAAAGCTTTTTTGCATAGTATTGTGTGGCGCAGTATAATAAAATCGCTTGTTCCATATTCGGCCACAAATTTCCAATTAAATTATTTTTCGTTTAGCAGAAATGCCTGTTCAGAGTGTATGATCAGGCTAAGCCTTTACCTGTCAAAACCTCAAATTCACCAGATAATTCTCCAATGACCGACTGTTATTTGCAGGCTTGGCATTATCTGTCATCTCTCTATTGTGGCTCATTTCCCCTCCAATGTATGTTTACAGAACTTTGTGTTGTCCAGTTCTGTTTTAAATCATAACAATGTTATCGGTGATACACAAATCAGACTCCACTTCACAATCATATTGTCTCCTACATAGTTGTCTATTTTTTTTATGTAAACATGATCATAGACTCAATTAGTGTCTGTTCACTCCCATTAACATTGTTAGTTTTACTTATTGCGCTGAAGTCTTTAGCTACCTGGGGAATAGTGAGAAAGTGGTAATATATTAAATGATATTGTTTACATGTATTTTTTGTGTAGTCTGGCATGGGATAATATTTGTGAGAGTAGGACCTTACAGACATGGCATCTTCCGATTTGTTGTTATACTTGAAGATGAGTGAGTAGACTTGATAATTTGTGTTACTGACATGAATTTCATTATTAGATTGATCTGAACTTCAGAGAATCGGGATATAATTTTTAATAAATTATGTACCAATATACATGTTTCTCTGTATTTATATGGAGAGGAAGATGTATATTTGAGTCAGTTATTCAGGCTAAATGGAAATAAAACACTAGAATTACAGTACCACAGTGGAACCTTTCCTTACGGACACTTCTCTAAATATGGGCAGTTCTTTGCTTCTGGCAAGAAGGCCATACACTGTACACTATACCTTCTCTATTTAAAGAAATGTCTATAATGCAGACCCTTTGTAATATGGATACCTTTTATTAGGGAAAACCATAGACAGTACGATATCATTTATTTTCTGTTTGTGGGTTCAGATGAAATGATCATCAGATACGGAATCTACATACACGTACAATAAAAGTAGTCAATATAAGTATCGATTATATGGCTGTCTCACAAAGACTGGGAACTACCGAATTCACCAATTTGATTGGCTGAAATTGATATTGAAAACAGTTTAGATTTTCCCATCTTGATCGGCATCTAGACTGGATATATTTTGTGATGAAGAAGTTGCAAACTAAAATGCAAAAACATCGATTATTTTCTTCTAACAATATTTATTTCTGGAAGTGCCAAAAAGTCTGATGAGAAAAAAAGTAAAGAGGACAAGCAAACTTTGGCAGAATTATATTCAAATTCAGCTCATCTCTGTTTGCAAGCTAGATGTCAGTTAGTACAAACCAGTTACTTTAAACAAATTACATGTACATTGTTCTTGTTTGCTATAAATTATAATAAACATCTTATTAACCAAGCTTAGTCGGTCTGTATGGGAGAATCGTGATCTCGGTCATGTGCACAGACCTCACTGCAATGGTCAAGATTCTCCCATACAGACCGACTAAGTTTGGTTAATAAGAGGTAAGCACTGTGAAGCAATTTTTAAAAGTAGTGCAAACAAACAATTTTGAACACCTTTTAGTTATTGTCATTGTGCCACTCACTAATGTCATAAGAGTTATATTTTCCTAAGTGTTCCAAGATCCCTGACTACTCTTTTTTAATTTCTACAGAAAAGGTTCACTGTCTAAAAGCGAACATATTATATATCATTTTAAAATTAATTATTTTCAGTTTTCCTCAAAGCCGACCTCTTTTGAAATTTACTACAGCAGTCTTCCATCCTCAAGTCCATCCAGCTAATGGGTAAGCATGGTTTTACAGTTAGTTTATCTCAACATGCTTATTGACTGAATTTTTGCAAAAAAAGAGCTGTCAATTAATTCCTTCCTCTCCTGTCTGATTTGCCTTGAAAGAGATCTTGTCTGTTGTAAAGCAGCACATAATGATGTTGCTCTTGAAAATATACCCAGCCTGTCTTATGAAGCTCGATGAGGCGTAGAAATTTTCGTAGAGCTCTACGACTCTATGGTAGTATTTTGAATGTTTAAGCTCCGTTTCTCTCGGATATGCATACACC